CTATCCAAGGCGATCTCCGACTGTGGCACTCAATTCGTTTCATGATTTTGGGGTGAACTGATGAAACTTATGGGGGTGGAAAGGGGTTTGAGTAGCGCTTATCACCCAGAGACTGATGGTCAAACGGAAAGGGTTAATCAGACTTTGGAACAATACCTCTGTTGCTTTACAAACTATCAACAAGACGATTGGAACGATTTGTTGCCCCTTACAGAATTTTGCTATAATAACACTTGCCACTCGTCGACAGGGATGTCCCCGTTTAAAGCCCTCTATGGCTATGACAGCCCGCCGGTTCCCTTCCTGGATGGAGCCATGGACTTGGTACCTGGGGAGGCGGGGATGTGGTGCAAACGACTGTAAGACTCTTGGCCTCTTCTGTGCAAAACTCTGGATGCGGCCAAGGAGGCTTACAAAGCACAGGCTGACAAGAGAAGGGTGGAGGGTTGGGCTCTGCAGCCTGGCGATTCAGTATATGTGTCTACGAAAAACATTCAAATGTTGCGACCGAGTAGAAAACTTGGTTGGAATTACATTGGGCCTTTTAAAGTGCACAAAGTTATCAATGAGGTGGTGGTTGATGTGGAATTACCTAAGAACTTGAGGAAATTGCATTCTGTATTTCATTTCAGCCTCCTAAAGAAAGACTATGGGTCCTGTCCTTGGCGTCCGGAACGTCCGGTACCACCGCCTATTTTGATCAGGGCGAGGAACACTATGAGATTTCTAAGATTTTGGATTCTAAACGCAGACGTGGAAAATTGCTGTATTTGGTGGAATGGAAAGACTTTGGACCCCAGCACCCTGAATGGGTGGAAGTAGGGGATATTCGGGCCCCTCAGTTGCTCCACAAGTTCCACCGGGAGTTCCCGGATAAACCGGGAGACCTCCCGGAATAACCGGGAGATTCATGATATTGGGGGGGAATTGATTTTCAAGGGGGCAGTATGTCAGCTATGGCTGCCTTGAGTGTGGTGTATGTTTCTAATTGCTTTGCATTCCTTCCCATGCGCTTAATTGCCTCTGAGCTGTAACGCATATCTCTCAAATTCGCAGGAGGAGTTGGTACTGTCTAGGTTTCATGGGAGCTTCTTACTTTCCCAGCTTCGCAGCCGTTAGAGTATCTGCCAAATGCCCGTGCGCGGGAGCCTATCTAATTGGGTAGTGCTTGGGGGGGGCATACAAATGCCCAATATCCTATTATGCGCATAGGTAACCTGCCATTCCTAAAAGTGTTCATGTTACTGCATTTATGGCTTTTCAATAAAAGTAAAACCTTCCTAGAAGCGTGTACTTCATTGTCTTGCTGTGGATCCTGACATCTGGTGGGCTGATTTCTTTTCCAAGTTTCAGTTCACCCTTCATCATTTCCCGAGTTCTGCGAACTCTCTCGCTGATGCCCTGTCCCACCTCCCTCAGCATGACAGCCAACAGGAGGTAATTCTGCACTCTATGTTTACGCCCCCTCAACTCAGCAGGGTGGTGACTACACACAGCCATTCCAGCTCCTCCTCACCTACTACGCAACCAGACCCTGGTCTCCACCCCCCTGCCACACCAGGCGAGACCCATTGGAACAGTAGGTTTATCTCTGCCTTCTCGGAAGGTGACAAGGCGGAGGTGGAATCAGAAGGGGGGTTGGAAGTCAAACCAGATGGGTGTTGGTACCGTGGCAACAAACTATTTGTCCCAAATTCTCTACAGGGGGAAATATTGAACGCGATACACGGCTCGAAATTGGCAGGTCACCCCGGGCTTGTTAAGTCCCTGCAGCTGCTGCAAAGACAATTTTGGTGGCCGCAGATGCAAAAGGATTTGTCAGCATTTGTAAAATCGTGTCAAACGTGCGCCATGTGCAAGTCCAGACTGGGAAAAAACCCCGGTTTGCTGCAACCTCTCCCGACTCCGAGTCGGCCGTGGGAGGTGATCTCCATGGACTTTATCACGGATTCACCCTCGAGTAAAAGTATGTCGGTCATTTGGGTTGTTGTGGCCCCCCTGGTATTGAGACCTGGCAAGGGTATTTAAGGAGGAAGAAGCTGACGAACTCCCACCTCATAGGCATTCTGACTGTAGCATCGAATTGTTACCAGGGCATAAACTGCCTAAGGGTCGCATATACGCGATGGTGCCAGCGGAGAAGGATGAGCTTTGCAAATTCATTGACAAAAACCTAGCTCGAGGGTTTATTAGACCAGCCTCCTCCCCGTTTGCTGCCTTAGTACTGTTTAGAAAGAAAAAAGATGGGGGGCTGAGGCTATGTACGGATTATAGAGGGCTGAATGCTGTTTTGTCTACAAATGACTACCCCATGTCGCTCATTAAAGACTTGCTGGCCGAAGCTTCCAAAGGGAAAATCTTCTCCAAGTTGGACCTCCTGGATGCGTACTTTCAAGTGCACATAAGGGAGGGGGACAAACATAAAATGGCGTTTAATACACCCCTGGGCCAGTTTGAATACCGGGTGATGCCATGTGGGCTCCTGGGCACTCCTGGAGTATTTATGAACTTGATTAACGAGGTGCTTCACAAACATCTGTTTAAGGGGCCCCTCATTAACTTGGACAATATCTTGCTGTACTCCCCCAATCTCTCCTCCCATGTAAAATTGGTGAGGGAGGTGCTCCAGACGTTGCACAAGCTGTTTGCTAAACTCTCCAAGTGTTAATTTCACAAAACAGCCATTGACTTTCTCCGTTATCGGATATCCAACAAGGGGTTGGAAATGGACCCGGGGAAGGTGCGAGATGTGCTGGGGTGGGAGGCCCCCCGCACCCACCACCAGCTCCAATCCCTCCTTGGATTTTCGAATTTCTACAGAAAATTTTGGCAAATTTTGCACAGATCAGCTTACCCCTCACAGATTTATTGAAAACCAAGGGCAAAGGTCCAGAGGCGACCAAACCGGGAGCTAAGCTGCAATGGACGGATGAATGCCAGGATGCGTTCAACAGTTTGAAATCCTTGTTTACGTCAGAACCCGTGTTAGCCCACCCCGATGGTTTATGGGTCTCAGTTCGCTTGCTTGACCTATGTACCAGCCAAGCCTGCATTCCATTCCCCTCGGCGCCTCTACTCCTTATCGCTGACCTTGTAGCTTGCTTGTGTGGTGTCTCTTTTCATCCATTAACCTTGGGACTACTTTCGTTTCCTCGCCTGCACTCCAACGGCTCGTCCCACCCGTGGGAGAATGGCCAATTGGTCCATGGATGGGTTTTTTTCCCTTCAAATATACTATATCTATACCTGCTTGCTTAGTATTAGTTATTCCTAACACTGAATATGTTTCTGCTACCATAGTTCTCACAATAAAGAATAACCTTCTTGGAGGTGTGTGCTGAAGTGACTGACTGTGGGTCCTGACAGCTATGGGTTGAAATAGTGGGCCCAAAAGGAAGCTTAACACTGGGAGTTTGTTATCGCCCACCACATCAAAAGATAAGAGGAGGGTTATAAAATGATGAATTAAAGATAGTGGCTAGACAAAAAAACTGTGTCATAATAGGTGATTTTAACTACCCACACATTGATTGGGTCAATATGTGTTCAAGTCAGGAAAAAGAGATTGAGTTTCTAGACACTCTCAATGACTGTGCTATGGAACAGATGGTCACAGAACCTACCATAGGAGAGGTGATCCTGGATTTGGTCCTAGGTAACGCCCAAGACCTGGTGAGAGATGTAAAAGTGATTGCACCGTTTGGGAACAGTGACCATAATGTTACTGAGTTTAACATTTGTATAAATAGGGAGTTACCCAAAAAGACTGACACAACCACTTTTAACTTTAAAAGGGGCAACTTTTCTGACATGAGGGAACATGTGAGGAGGAAACTGAAAGGAAAAGTAGAAAAGGTCAAAACCATTGGGGAAGCTTGGAGACTATTTAAAACTACAATCCTAGAAGCTCAGAAAAAATATATACCGCAGGTTAGGAAAGGCACAAATAGGTATAGAAAAAAGCCTCCATGGTTAACAAACAAAGTAATGGAAGCTGTAAAAGGTAAGAAGGATTCCTTTAAGCAGTGGAAAGCTAGCCTCAGTGAGGATGATAAAATGGAACACAGGCTGTGGCAAATAAAATGCAAGTCTGTGATCAGGCAGGCAAAAAGGGAATATGAGGAGCATATAGCAAAAAACATAAAGACCAACAATAAAACTTTATTCAAATACATTAGTAGCAGGAAACCAGCCAGGGAGGCAGTGGGGCCCTTGGATGACCAAGGGGTCAAAGGAGTACTGAAGGATGATAGGGAAATGGCTGAGATGCTAAATGCATTTTTTGCCTCTGTCTTCACTATGGAAGATGAGAAGTGCTTGCCCACTCCAGAACCGCTGATTTCAGGAGGGGTGTTGAAAGACCTGAGTCAGATTGAGGTGACGAGAGAGGAAGTCCTACAACTGATAGACAAAAACTGATAAATAACGAGGCCCGGATGGTATACATCCAAGAGTTCTAAAAGAACTCAAATGTGAACCTGTGGCTCTCCTGACAAAAATATGTAATCTTTCCTTAAAATCTGCCTCCATTCCTGAGGACTGGAAGGTAGCTAATGTCACTCTCATCTTTAAAAGGGGTTCCAGAGGAGATCCGGGAAATTACAGGCCAGTCAGTCTGATGTTGATACCGAGTAAATTGGTGGAAACCGTTATTAAGGAAGAAATTACTAAAGACACTGATGAAGAAAAACTATTGAGGCAGACTCAGCATGGGTTCAGTAAGGGAAGATCTTGTCTTACTAACCTGTTAGTGTTCTTTGAGGGGCTGAACAAACATGTGGACAAGGGGGACCCAATAGATATTGTTTGCCTTGACTTTCAGAGAGCTTTTGATAAAGTCATCAAAGGCTCCTAAGTAAGCTCAAATATTACGGGATAAAAGGACAAGTTCTTTTGTGGATCAAAAACTGGCCAATTAATAGGAAACAGAGAGTGAGTATAAATGGGAAATTTTCTCAGTGGAGGGTGGTAAGCAGTGGGGTACCAGAGGGATCAGTACTCGGTCTACTGCTTTTTAACTTGTTCAAAGTGGGCGTCAACATGGCAAATGGGGTTCAGTGTGACCAAGTGCAAGGTGATGCACATTGGAGCCAAAAATCCTAACTATAAATACACATTTATCGGGTCCGAACTGGCAAAGACTGACCAAGAGAGAGATCTTGGAGTCGTAGTAGATAACTCACTGAAAATGTCGAGACAGTGTGCAACTGCAGTAAAAAAGGCCAATGCTATGCTGGGGATTATTAGGAAGGTAATTGAAAACAGATCAGCCAGTATCATAATGCCCCTTGTATAAATCCATGGTCCAACCTCATGTGTACTGTACTGTGTACAGTTCTGGTCATCACACCTTAAAAAGGATACTATAGCTTTGGAAAAAGTGCAGAAAAGGGCGACTAGAATGATAAAAGGGTTGGAACACTTTCCCTATGAAGAAAGGTTAAAGTGTTTGGGGCTCTTTAGCTTGGAGAAACGACGGCTGAGGGGTGACATGATCAAGGTTATAAAATTATGCATGGGATAGAGCAAATAGAGAAAGAGGTACTTTTCTCCCTTTCTCACAATACAAGAACTCATGGGCACTTAAAGAAATTGCTGAGGGGTCGGGTTAGAACGGATAAAAGGAAGTACTTCTTCACCCAAAGAGTGATTAACATATGGAATTCACTGCCACAGGAAGTGGTGGTGGCTACAAGCATGGACGGCTTCAAGAGGGAATTAGATAAGCATATGGAGCAGAGGTCCATCGGTGGCTTTTAGCCACAAGGTATAGATAGGGGCTCTGGGGCAAGGGATGCTCTGTATTCTTGGTGCTTGGGGGGGTGGCAACAGTGGGAGGGCTTCTAGTGTCCTGGCCCCACTGCTGGACCTCCTGATGGCACCTGGTATTTTTGGCCACTGTGTGACCCAGAGTGTTGAACTGGATGGGTCATTGGCCTGATCCAACATGGCTTCTCTTATGTTCTCTTATGTCCTTATGTAAACCTTAAAAGCATCAGAACAGTCCATCGTCCTAACTAAAACAGAATGTAGATGCATGTAACGTAAATCTGTATACAGGTGACAATAAAGAAGAACATGGGTAATTGACTCCACTCATGTTTGATTGCAAGGGCAGCATCTGGCTGAGTAGGCTCTCTTATTGAATCTGCCATAAGAAATGGCAGGAGGCATGGCATTGCTTCTGGCAAGGGAAAATGCTCTGTGCTGCTGTGGCACCTGCAAAGAGGATAGATATGGAGCCATTTTCCCAGTAATGAGGGGAATCTCAAAGCTCAGCAGGGAGCAGGTTGTGTTGGCCAGACTGAATAACTTCTGGTGTTCAATATCTAGCATTCTGTTTTTAATTTGATGAAATGCAGTGGTTACAGTCAGCATAGACAGTGATTCTATACATATACCCATTGCTTTAATTTCCCCCTCAATATATACTAACCAATTTGACATATTGGACTCGGAGAGATGTTAAAAAGAGTGAAGATATAAACTCACCCTCTGATCCTTCACTGTTTTTACTCCTTTTGTTTCGGCGGACACGATGGTTTTCTTCTTCAAGGTGAGGCCTTTCTTCAGAAGAGAAGAAATTCAGGAATGCTGAATGCCACCTGAAAAACATAAATGCAGGATGCTGAAATCTACTTAACAGAAAGGTGGCACCTAAATCAAGCCACAACAAATATGCAGCAAAGAAATAAAAGTGTATTTCCAGTTTGATTTTTTCATCTTGCAGACTTCACTTAGTCGTGCAAGGGATGGACCCCCCTTAATGTGTAACACCTGGGAAGTTCTGCCCCTTGGGAACCACACCATCATTAATGGAAATGGGTGCATTAGGTGCCTTTAAAACACTATTCCAATCTCCTTCCCACATCATCTCACAACACTGCTAAGGATACAGGATGGAACAAAGTCTAAATACAGTAGCCAAGAACCTGGGTTTCAAGGGTCAAAGAACCAGCTCTTGAAACCACAATTGTTTTCTTGCCCTTTTTTGGGACTGCCAGTGCAGGACGCAAAGGCAATGGCCATGTTCTGCACATTCACTATGCCGTTAGAAATCCCCACACTGAAAGCCTGTGAGGAGGAGGGTGGCAAACACTTGAAAATGACCAATCCCTCCAACTCCCTGAGAATATGGTGGCACCGGAACGTTTGATGACTAGTTTTGTAATTTCCTCACCTTGAACTTCAGCAAAATGCAACTGCCCCACTGTTGTCCATGTAAGAGTAGTAGCTAGGCAAGCAGCAAGTTGCTTGTTTATCCTCAGACCAAAGTGAGACAGTGTGAAGAAGAGAATACTTCACACATAAACACATGCACACGGACAGCTACGGTATGGGAGAGTGGGCATTCCAGAAATCTTTCCATCTATATATATAAAAGAAAGTCCCCTCGCCATAAAATCAATGCCCAGGCCAAACCACTGGACACCAAATTCAGGGAGAGCGCTCCTACTGTGGCGAAGGTGCTCGCTAAGAAGGGATTTTTAGAAATTCGACCCCTAAGTGGGTCAAAAGGGGGGAAATGTGTGCCCCCCATTGATTCTTATGTGGCTGCCAGGCAGCTGCCTCCTTGCACCCCCCACTCTCTGATTGGTCAGCTGCAGAGCTCAGTGTTCTGAGGTAAAAACAACAGTTACAGGAGACTGCACAGAGCTCATGACAGTT